TGACAACAGAATGCAAAATCGCGGTTCTCAATATTTCAATTTTCCCTGTTGCTTCCATTTATAATTAGGACCATTGCAAAAAACAAATGGTATCACAGAAGCTGGCACCTTCGTCCGTTTTCTGGGTTTCATACTCTCACTGTTATTAATACAAACTGAAAATTTACTTCATATACAGAAACAGGACAATTCTGTACATAAATCCACGCAGGTGTTCGCTGAAATTTTCAGGTGTCTAGAGCAAAGTAGTAAAACTCAGTCTGAACTTCAGATCCAACGATTTCTTTGCCATTAATGCTGGGGTGATAACCAAGCTCATAACTCGTATTCTGACAGAATAGCGGAAAAAGAGCATGTTTATGACGTACTGAAGCGAAACGGATGCCCAAAGACACTGATCAGAAAATAAGCGTGTAAGAACTGCAGAAGTTTGACCAGAATATTGACCCGTACTTCCCACTTGAAGCTACATATTCCAGGGCTGTCTGAATCTATAAGATGAATAATAAACTGACGCATGTGAGAATTGCTCTCAAATCGAAAGGGCAGCTAAGATCTTCAGTAGCAAAGGTGAAAGACAGAATTATCTGTGAAAGCGCAACAAACCAGACAACAGAATTATCTGTGTGGCATACCAGACTAGCGGCTGGACCAGTAAATTTCAGTGCATTGCCCTGACATCGTGATCATTACTGGTTGAAGCTATCGCGGGCCAAGAAGCATAGAAAAATATTGCCAATAAATTAGAGACGGACCAATCATTACAGTCTCACCATCAAAGATGCTACTGATCTCGCTTGTACAACATCCGTAATGACGGCGACCAGCATCTATGAAAGTCTTGCAAGAATCATCCTCATGAATAGGGACGAATGGCTAGAAACGTCTCAAACATGCATCACCTAACAGGAAATATTTGGAAGATCAAAGCAGTACGGAAATGACGGAATAGAACCAAAACTCTTCACTCCGCTACTACCTGTCAAAATGACGAATGAAACGACAGTTGGTCAAGTCCAAGCGGAATTGGTGTTGGTACTGGCGCAAGATCAGACTGCTGAGATTTATGTAC